TTTTTTTTTTTTTTTTTTGCTATTAACAGATCGCTTGTTCATGTGTCTTCTTGTAAAATTAATTTTAATGTTTTACACTCACCATGTCACTTTGTACTACTGATAGCTTGTCTCCTCATAAAGTTGCTTTAACATTTTACCTTCACTTTGTCACTTAGTGCTACCTATTTATTGAACTCTCATAAATTTGTCTTGGTAAAATATAAGTTTTACATTTATGATAATATCATAATCACTTCCCTTAGACATTCCCATAAATTGGTTCCTGTGATATAAGTAATTGTACTCAATATTCCTCAACCAATAAAAGTAGCCACCTACATTATATTTAGTTCTTTAGTAGAAATGTCTATCTGCTTACAAATACAAAGAAAACTTAAATGTCTGAGCAAAAGTACTTATAAATGATACTGTAGCTAGTTATCATGGAAATAATTTACTTATGGTATGTTAATCATTCTATAAGTACATTTTGTTTAAAGTGCCCAGGCACTAGAAATATATTTTAATAATCAAGCCAAGTTCAATATAATCTAAACCAAATTCAATGTTTCCTTTGCTCCTTTAACTGAATTTTCCACATGTGTATTGTCACCAAAATCTTCCATGTAAAAGCTAGAGTTACATTAGACTAAATTAGATTTATTCTCTCTCTCTCTCCCGCCCTCCCTCCCCCCATCTCTCTCTCTCATGATTTCCTACATTTTATTACTTGCCAAGCTCTGCTTTATTAGTTCTAATGCTAAAATAACTGAATCTTCACTTCTCTAGTCATTTTTCGTCACTCACATTATATAGTCTATTCCAATAGTCTCCTAACTGGACTGCCTCTAACATCTTTCCATTACCATATACCACTTTCCGTTTCCAAATTAAACTCTATGAAACATAGCATTGTTCATGTCACTCTACTACATAAAACCCTACAATGACTCCTCACTGCCTATCTCAACCATCTAAGCTCAGTATTCCAGACTTTGATACCATCTCATTTTTTTTTTATAATAGAATTGACTCTACTTACCTTTTAATTCACAGTGTGACTAATTGTGGCTCATTGCTATTCCTCACATATGTGTTGAATTTTTATATTTATCCTGATTACTTTCTATTCCTTTTACATACTCTTAGTTTTTAACTTTCATTTCTAACTCCTCTTGTTTCTTAAAAACTTCACCTTCTTCCTTCTTTCCTCATCTCCAATTGAATTATAAAACATAAAGAATGCTCAACTGTGTAGCAGTTACAATATTCTACCTAGATACAGAGTCATTTATCCATTAGTTTCTAGTCTCCATAAAACTGTAAATTCCTTGGAGAAAGGGTCCACGTCAGTTTATATTTGTATTTCCTTCAGCACCAAGCAGAATGCTGTCCCTAAAGAAGAGGCTCAGAAATATTTACTTAATGATTAGTAATTTTACAATAGCAAAGACCATATAGAAATTAGAAACCACTTAATTCAGAAATTATTGTGTATAAGAATGCAGACAAGAATTCAGCCACTCTAGGCCAAATTTTCTTTATATGATAAATGGATTAATTGTGTTTTTGGTGGCCCAGTTTTGAGTATGAGCACAATTTCATGTCAAAAAATTCTACTTTCACATGATCCCAGTTGTACTTTTATTGTTATTGACTAAGAAAATGGTCATGTCCATAAGGATTTTCAAATACCTGCCAACAACCTTATGCCTTGCAATACCTAGACCCTTGAGCACCTGTGAAACTGGTACTTTCAGATAATATACATTAATATTCACTAATGTTCCTGACTCATAACATGGACCCTATGAATATCAGTGTTATTATTCACTGTTATTTTTTTTTTTTTTTGCCAGAATTTTTTTTTTTTTAATTGTGATTTGGGTGAAGATTTACAGAGCAAATTCAGTTTCCATACACGAGTTCACATACACTTTGTATCACGACACTGACCACAGTTTATCACAATGCAACAGCTCCCCTCTTATTCCTCCCCATAGTTACCTCTTCCCAGTGTCCATCCTTCCATGCACTCCTGCCCCTAAGCTGTCTCCTTGTACATAAGCACCCCTTCTTTCTCCCATGATTGCACCTGCTTTTCACTACTTCAAATTCCTTTCCTGATTTTCTCATCCTCTCTCATAATAATAATCAACTCATTCCTGACATCCATTCCCTATGTGCAAAGCTTCTAGAGAGCATTGCAGCTCGTTCCATTTTTGCCTCTTTCACTATTAAGTGCTTTTCATTCTTTCCCTGTTTTTCACACCTTGCATTTTACTTCCCCAGTCATGATGTTGTTTCCTCCACTCTCACCATTCTTTTAAACTTTCTATGTCTTACTTCTCTAATCCTCATTCAAACCTTGTGCCTTGTGTGTCTGATTTTTGGTTCCTTCCCTCTTCCCTTTTCAAAACATCAACCCAGCTGTTAATCATGTTTATCATCGCACCTCTATTGTGAATTAGAAATATTCCTGAAAATCTATGGTAAAATCAAATAATTTTTAAACCAATTGTGCATGTCTAAATAAATGTAATATTTAAAAATAGCATACTATAAAGTGAATTGATATGGCCTATCTTTTATATATTGACTCATTTATAACTGGCTTTTATTCTTCCTTTTACTTCTTCATTACTGTCTTTCTGCTCCTGCTTATCCTACTTGTCTGTTACAATATTTTAGGTCTCTATTCTCCCTCTCAATTTGTCCCTTTACTCTATAGCTATGATAGCTGGGGTGTTTCCAAGTTTAGTTTTGACTAACATCTTAGTTTTTTTATTGTCAAGATTTGATAGTTAAATTTAGCTATTCTTTCTCTCATTCTGGGAAAAAAAAAAAAAAAAAACTCAACTGTCATCAAGTCTGTTCTGACTCATAGCAACCCTTCCTTGTGTTTCTGAGATGGTATCTCTACAGAAGTAGATTGCCCAATCTTCCTTCTGAGGAGTGGCTGGTGGGTTTGAACTGCCAGCCTTCTGGTTAGCAGTCAAATGCCTTAGGCACTATGTCACCAGAGCTCCTAGGTAGTCTCAACTCAACCTCACTAACGAACACAAAAAAATACATTAACATCTATTCCCATGATAAACAGTATGTTATGTCTTCTTAAAGATGAATGATGGCATCTTTTATTTTATCTTTTAAATGCCAAATAAAATTATATTAGCAATATATATACTTACACTCAGCATATTTCTGAAGTTGTGAAAATTCTGAGGGGCTGAGATGGGCCCACTTTTCCTGGTTTGTCATTGTGGTGATGAGGAGTTCACTTACATACCAGATGAGGGAGTATTTATTCAGATGTCTGGCAGAACTCTACACATCAAAGATTCCACATGGCATGTTTCATGATAAAATACCTCAAGCTTTCAAAATATGCAATCTGTCAACATGAAACCACTGTGGATGTGAGTTTGTAGTTTCAATAAGGTATTAAAGCACTGCAGA